TCAAAATCTAACTCAGGTAAAAGTCGGTTAGTATTATCAGCAAAATGTACCTAAAGTAACGACAGTAACAGTATTCATTGTGCAGTAAAATGGTCCCTTTTGTTTTAACCTAAGGGCTTCAATTGTAGTGGAGTCTTTTCATGATGTGGTATTAGTACTTTTAATTCAGTAAATGGATCTGAATACTTCCTCTAACACTGCTAGTTGGTCATTTTTTCTAACCGAGCCAGACATGAACACACTTCTGATTCAAAATTAAGTATTCCAAAGAAGCTGGCTGCATCGGTGATGTAAATAAAACAGTTTAGGAGTTGAGAAGGTGGATTGTTTTTAGGCCGGCAGTTTCCTTCTGCCTCCGGTCTTTAGGCTAAGCTATACTAAACTAATATCCATTCTCTTGACAGTAAAATGTGGGACTGTTCCTTTAATTGCTGTACTAACCGAAACTGTCTTATCACAGTTTATGGAGGAGGCGCAGAGCTCCATCTCCTCTCTCTCTCTTTATCTGGCTCCCCCCTTCTTCTTCTTCTTCTTCTTCTTCTTGCCTCGCCGAGTGTGACGACTTTCAATATCAGTGTATTTGGTTTGAGGCCAGCGGGCAAATATTGACAGAGTGGATCTGAATGAAAAGATGCTCCGTTTCTGCAGCGCTGCGTCCAAGATGAGTTTTCCTTTGCAGTCGGAGGAGGTTCAGCATCGCGGTGGAGCTCGTCGGAGGAGGATGGAGGATGTTTTGGACGGCAGCGTGGGGCCTCCCATCAACACCGCTTTCTCTCGTTTATTCCCCCTCTCTACACGCGTCCCACTGACTGCTGCCGCCATCAACTCAGCTGGCTCTGAACCATCAATTCCTGCAGCACAAATCACTTCCTCTTCACTCCAACACCGAATCATTAAATACAGGTGTGCTGTCTCTAACGCCGAGCACACAAAGTGACCCTGACTTCTGCATGAACTAGTTCCCTCTCTCCAACTCAATGATTCGCTCCGTCCAGCCAATTACGGAGCTCTTAACAAGTGACCGACAGCTCGCCGTTAAAGCAGCTCCCCCCCGACTCTTTTTCCTGCACCATTATAGCTCATCACTTCAAATTAGATCTACAAGTCAATACGAGGAGTCAATATTTAATTTGCTCACAGCAGGTGGTGATGTAGTCAGAGACATGGTGGATCTCCAGCATCATAAAGACTGTCCTTCATGTGAGGCACTCCGAGGGCCGAGACACACAGGGAGGACACGTAGCAGGGAGGACACGTAGCAGGGAGGACACGTAGACAGAAAACTGGACTTTATGGTTTGATTCAGGGGGTTTAGTTGGCTAAAAGTCTGGGTTTCCTGCGTGTTCCTAAACACTATGGGCATCTTAAGATTTCAAGATGTTAAAACACATTGTACACATCGTTGGTTCATGGCAACAGAGAGCCGAACTGAAACCAGAACTTCTTCAAAATCACATTTATAATAATTCCAGTTCACAAAATTCCAGCGTTACTCAACAACATATCGTGTGATTCACTCCATATGTCTAGATAATGATGGTTAATCTTTTTCAGAACAATGCAGTATTGTTGTTTAATCAATATTTTTGTTTTTAGCCACATGTGCTGAACACCATTACCCACAAGTCCACAGACAGTGACAGGTTACAGGTCAATGGAAAGCTATGAGAAAATAGACAACAGAGAAAACAGCAAAATAGTTGAATGGAAATATAAGAAGAAGAAACAAAGCTACAATAGCGAATAAAATCTTCATTGGAGTTTTTGTTTGTTTTCTTGAAAATGTCTTTGTTCAAGCTCAAAATATTCAAATTCTAAGCGGCTGCTGTAAATAGTTATTATCGTTTCAACTCCACCACAGATACAGGAGAGATTTTGTCTCTGTCGGCATGAAACGCTGTTCTAATGAGGTGCAGACTTCTATCTGTGTCACCGCGAGTGCTGGACAGAGCAGTGAGTGACAACAACTCTGCCCACATTTAAGAGGACTGTCTGTGGTGGAAACACTAAACGGACCGAGGGTCTAGGTACCATGTCTGAAGGGTTACTTTAAGCCCTGTTTCCACCAAACACTTTCAATACACTATCTTTGGAACCAACAGTAACCCTCTGGCTTCACGACTCAAACTGCTGGGCCCCCAAAAATGTACTTTGACCACCAAATTTAGAGCGTCTATGCCCGCTAAGGGTCAATTTCTGTTTTAAAATTGTATTTATCTCCATTTTAGGAACAATCAGTTTCTAAATTGTCCTAAATATGATTTTCTGCCTGTGTGATGAGCTGTAGATGAGTCCTGGGTGTCTCAGTGCATGCTGGGATATTCTGTGACTCCTTAAAACCAACATAAAAACACAGGATGAAGGAGGGTCAGAAGAGCTGGCTCCATCCTGAATTAGTCAGTTTTTAGGGAATTAAGACAGCAGCCTGCCTCCCTTGATGTTGACTGGCTGTTAAACACCACAGAAGCTGGAAAAGTCTCCCGAGGATCATTTAACAGCTTCACTCTGTGTCGTATTATGATGTTCTGAATTGATCTCCCTCTTTGGCTGTGTCTAATTATGCCTTGGGGAGGTAACAAAGGAAGGTGTTGCACAGCGTACTTTTCATTACTTGGCTGGAGGAGGACCTTGGCAGACGCTCAGTGAGTCTTTAGCCACAGAAACAAATAAATAAATAAGAAAAAAGGAAAAAAAAAAAGGCAGCAAAGGACTTGTGTTTATGTGTTGTGTTAATATGGCCGCCGGCAGTTTGTTTCCACGTCGACACCACCAGGGATTTCTGTGTTTTTCTTCTGCAAAAATCACTCATAACTTTTCACGAAACGACGGTTGTTAGTCTGAAGAAGCGGTTTTAATTACCTCCTCTGGTTAACAGCAACAGGAAGAACCTGATAAAACACTTCACATGACTGTCATGGCGCGCTGAAAGCGATTGGACGGTGTTCAAACTGACAGGAGTCCTGCCACAAGCAGCTGAGAGGGTAAAAATGCAAATCTACCCATTTACAAGGTAAACCTGTAAAACAAATTCAGCCTCAATTACACACGCCGATGCCTTGCAACAATTATCCACCCATCACAGAGCGCAAAGTTCATTTTAATTAGGTTTTTTTTTTTTCTTTTCCAGAGCTCTTGTGCACGCTCGGCTCTGTGAGGGGAAATATATGTGAGCGCCTGCAGAAAGCAACGCCGCCACAAAGCAAGGAGGAGAAATCGACTTCCACTCAGTAATGAATCGCAGCTCTGAAATTAAACTGACGTGTAATGAATCTTTTTTTTTTTCTTTTACTCTCCTCCCTTTTGTCTCTGCTCTCTGAGAGCAGCCAAAGAAAGCCATTTACATTCTACAGCATTTTCCTGCAGTCACAAATGCTTACTGTCACTTTGGGAAAAGGACAGAGATGAACTGTGGGCGCATGCAGGCCGACACAAAGGAAACTGCCCCGTTCACTGTTCTACAATCAGTGGAGGAGGAAGAGGAGGAAGAGGAGGAGGGTGTGTTAGAGGACGATCAGTCTCTCTTCTCTTTGATCTACAACAAGCGGCCACATTTAAAGTGTCAAACTTTACAGAAAGTTTGGCATCATTTGTAGAGCTGAGGACACTTTCAGCCTGTGGATGATGGTATTAAATATATCATATAAGATTATAAATAAAACAGAAACAAAATTTGTTGCTATAGTTTCCTGAATGTATTTAAGGAAGTTGAACAGCATCTGAAAGTAACTCAGGATAGTCCAGGGGACTCGGTTCGATTGAGTGGGGAATGCCCCAAAAATTCACACCTTCATTTGGTTTGGTTCACTTTCACACTGCACTTTTTAAAGCGGACCAAACCGCCTGGACAACATCATGCAGTTACAGCAGCAACACCAAAATGCACTGCGCTCTACATCACTTCCTCTCTTTGGTTCACTGGATGGTCTGTTTGCATTTCCCACTGTAAGCAAACCGCACCAGGGTTCACTTGCAAGTGAACCGAGCCCCCCAGTTTTCAAGCAGACCAGGGTTCGCTCATTTGGTCCGCACCAGAGCTTGAATGAGCGTTCACACCTCTCCAAACAAACCGAACTATCCATGGAAGCAGACCAGGGCTCATTTAAAGCGGACCAAATAGCGCATGTGTGAATGCGTCCTAAGTATATGCACTTAAAGGAAATGACCACTTTAGAGTGAAAATACAGACAGTACTTACTGACCCTCATGCCGACAATAAGTCCAGTGTAGTTTTTTTAATCCACAAAGCTTGTTCGGGGTATCGGAGGATAACAGCTAGCTGGATTTTTCCATACACTTGAAGTGCATGGAACCCACGTCCAAAATCATTTTGAAAATGTAATAAAACTCCGCTAATGCATTTCAAAAATGTCAGAACGGTCGTAATCCAAGTGCCCTGAAGCTGCGGCATGCAAAATTGACGTGAAAAGACCAGGCTAACTGACCTTTCCAAGTCAATTTTGCATGCCGCGGCTTCAGGGCTCTTGAATTACGACGGACGAGCCGTTCTGACGTTTTTGAAATGCATTAGCGGAGTCTTATTACATTTTCAAAATGATTTTGGACGTGGGTTCCATGCACTAAATGCTAAAAATCCGGCTAGCTGTTATCCTCCGATACCCTGAATGAGTTTTGTGGATTAAAAAACCACATTGGACTTCTTGTCGGCATGAGGGTCAGTAAGTACTGTCTGTGTTTTCACTCTAAAGTGGTCATTTCCTTTAAGTACTGCATGTAGGTAAAATTTTAGGTACTTTACAGGAGTATTTCCACTTTATGTAACTTAATACTTTTGCTCCATCTCAGAGGGAAACACTTATACTTTAACTACATGATGCTCAGAATACTTCTATACTGTTACTACTGATACGTGTACTACTACTAAAACTAGAGCTGGATTTTTATTGGCCCACATAATAACGATAGTTTGGAGCAGAAAAATCCAATGGCCGATTAATCACGGTGCAGTGTGGTGTAAATAAAACCAGTGTTCATGTCCTTACCTGTCCATTTTGAAGTTCATTGAGGCCTTTGCACAACGTCTGATTCTGAAAAACAGAGAAAGAAAAACTGTAAATATTAACAGCTCGACTGTTCAGGCTGAAACTCAAACATCAGAAATACACTGTTGGACTTTTACAGACTAAAATTTCAGCTGCAAAATACATTTCAAAATATTTTTATAAACCAGTGCGATCAAATATCTGTTCATTCAGATTTAAGTGGCTGTTAATGGTTCTTCATTGACGCCCATCTTGGTTTTTGTCAGCTGATTTTCATCTGAAAACTGCAAACTTTTCCAGTCTGATCCACTTCATGCTGCAGTGAATCCTCCTCCTCCTCCTCTTCCTCATCCCCCTACCTGCACTTTAACAAACACTAACAAACACCAGTGAACCCTCTGGAGGCTCAAACACTGTCGTGCCATCACAGCTGGACAGCTCCCTGCCGGCAGACCGAGATCTGCGTCTATTTGTCATCTGTAATCTAATGGAAACGTGTCGAGACGTCTGGGGAGCGGAAAAACTGAAGCTGAGGATCTTTAGTTTTTTATTTCCCTGCAGCAGGGCAGGTGGTTCGGATAGACCGAGTGCACTGAGTGTGTGTGTGTGTGTATGTGTGGATAGTCAGATAGATAAATAGAGGAGGATTCATTCTGTATGCATTACTTTTCACACTGGGGAAATTTATAAGCAGAGTGCTGATAGTTTCCAAATCAGTAGCACTCGGGAGTGGAGCGGGGTTGCGTCACAGAGAGAGAGATTACTGCACCGCAAAGCCCGAACCATTTTACAACGTCTACACTGTGTTTGACGTTTTACTATGTCGACTCATTCACTCTCACTGCTCCCTCTGTCTGCTCCTGCAGGCTGTTTCACTGAGTTCAGTCGCTGCTGCTGCTGCTGCTGCTGCTGCTGCAGAGGATTTTCTGCTTCTCAGTCATCAGCAGAGGAGGAGTAATAACTGGAGATGACCTCTACTACGACAGCATGAACAGTGCAGAGGGGCAGGGGGAGGAAATGTTCAGTGCTGTGCTTCAGGGTACTGTGAGCAATAGAGCTTTACAATTTGTCATCCTGGCAGGTGTTTAACACTTGATTTCCACTGGTTCTTGTTTTAAAGCACATGACCTAAAGTGTTTTTAACAACTAGGGGGACTCAGGAGGAACATTTTGTTTGTATCTCTGAGTTTCCTATAAATTAGATTCAACCAGTTTTCAGCTACTATCTCTGACTTTAATCAGACTCTAATCACCAAACACAGATGTAGCCAGAAATAAAAATCTAAAATGTTGGCGTTGGGTGTTAAAGAACGTTGACAGTAAGAAGTAATCCCAGAATTTGCAGTCGTCCAATAAAAACACTGTTTGCTGATGGAGTTTGGATGCAAGTGATGTGATGGACAAACATTTTACGCAATCGACTAGGCTTGGGGAGGTATCTATTTTTCCATACCCTCATATCTTCCTGAATTTTCACCAGGGTATTCAGTATGTGATGGTATTTGCATGTGGCGCATGATGTGCACTACATACAGAACATCCTCAATACAGCCTCTCCTTCTTAAAAAAAAGGGAGCGTCTGCATTTTTGACAGCACTCGGGATTTCTAAATACTGTGACATCACCGATGTTAAAATCAACAATTGGTGCCAAGAAACACAGTGATGCACCAACAAAAGGCAAAGAAAACGGAGACTTCCAGCTAGTAGGTAATAGAGGTGAGTCCGTGTACACGTTTACACATGTTTGAGATCATAAATGGTTATGAAAAATTAGTACATGAAAAACTTTTTTTTTTTTTTAAGGGGGGAGGGGGGTGATACTAATTGTTGACTAACTATGATAAGACTGTGACTATGACATGAAATGGTGTGAGGCCGGGTTTGGCAACAGGTCAGTAGCCTATGTGCTCCGTTCTATTAAAACGGTGAGTTCGTTAAGAGGGTCGTTCGCCAGTGGGTTACAATGAGTACCGGGCCATCAAATCACAGCATCCGCAGTGAGAGGACACGGAATTGTCTGAGCTTTTACGCACGGGTCGGTGGTGAAGTGCCACACATGACTCGTGCTACAGACGGACAGACGGATGAGCCACGTATCCCGGTGGTGCTTAAAAACAGGTAATACATCTGGCTACATCTTTCCCACATCAAATATCCGTGATCGCGCAGACCCGTGCGTAAAAGCGCACACAATTCCATGTCCTCTCACCGCGGATGCTGTGATTTGATGGCCCGGTACTCATTGTAGCCCACTCTTATAAGACCCAATAATAATAATAATAATAATAATAAAACGTTACTGTGGACCTATATGCCATGCCTTTTAATAAAATTACCAGAGGAGTTCGCTGAATTACTCGCATGCGTCCCTGGTGAAAATCGCTGACATGCATGGGAAATACGGCTTCTACAGGCTCGCCATAGCTCACTGTCAGGACTCAGGGACCAGAATTCGGGATGGTGGACCGTCAGAATGGCAAAATTTCGGAGTGGCAGTCTGTAACCTTTGGTTAAATGGCCCGTTCAGTTGGTATTCGGATAACTAGGGCTTTACTGGTATAATGCAATAGCACCACCCAGCAGTGAAACCCGTGTACACGTTTACACGAAAAAAATGACCCAACGTTTAGAGATTTTTGTACACGAACTCACCCCTAGTAGGTAAGAATGTAAACAAACCAAGTTCCAAAATATTCAAAGGAATATAGACAATACTTGTGTTTTTCAGGTAGGATACAAATTCCATAACACATTTGTTGACCTTAAGCAGTCATACAATGTGTCTTTGGAAACAAACACTGAGTCTGTTTAGTGAAAACTCTGCAGAGCACCTTTAAATGTCAATGACGATTTAGATTAATTATGTAAAGTTTATATAAAGTAAATATATGCAAACATACCATATTGATTTGTGGGGAAAAGTTTCTAAGATGAAGAGTTACACCTGCAACTCAAACTACCAATACACAAACCAACTACTACTCAATATCGAAATCCATCAGCGTTCAGTCTGAAGATGATTTACACCCGGGCCACACTGCCTGTGTAAGCAGCATATGTGCACTGCAGAACCTCTTGGGGTTTAACAGGTTAGAGCAGCCACACTGCTGACATGAGCGGCGCTACTCAGACACACATGAAAAGATTCAGAGTCTGGCCTATTTTTTCCACGACTCGCACGTTTTTCAGCAAAAACAGACAATGAAAATGATCCTTTGATAATCACATTGACATTATACCAGCTTTTACGACAGTTACATTGTCTGCATCTGTCACAGGCATGAAAAATATAAATATTTCTTTTCAACTCAACATTTCCTGTCTCTGTTTCAAAACAAAAGCCCTCTTTATTTATTGCTAAATCTTTATCAGACAATAGCCGATGGGTTCCAAGCTTGCACTTCAGCCAATGTGTTGCACATCTTTTGGCCTCCACACAGAATATTTAACTGCATGCATTTCGTCCAGTATTATACAGACTCATTTGTTAGATTTCAATGAGCAGCTTGATGTAATTATTGAAAACTTTACATCTACAAAGTGCATAAAACAGTTATAAAAGAAGACACAAGGAGCTGTTGATTGGACGAGAAGACATGAGGGCAAGGTGATTGGTTCTTGCTGCCACTTTTGTCGATCAGCCAGGCGTCAGTTTAAGCTTCAGAGGACGGAGATCACAAAAACCGAGGGGTAATTTTATGCACAATTTCTGTAATAAAAGCAGGCACACTGTGTATGTTTGTCCTTCATTCCTAAAACACAAATATTTGTTTTGCAGGGAACAAGATAAAAATCAGCTCACTCAGAGAAAAGGACTGACTGAACGACTGTTTTCTCCCACAACATAATCCTCCCCCTTCCCCTGAATGCAACAAAATGAAAACAAATGGCATTTACCCCCCGTATTTACAGCCAGAGCATCTGTTCAAAATGCACACAAACACAGCCGGCTTTTGCTTTCTTGTTAGCATTTGGATGGGGAGGCTTTCTGGGGAGAGCATTAGCGCTGTTTGGCTAACTCTGACGGGCTTCATCTCTCAAAGCTGCAACCGTGGAGCCTCGTGGGAAACGGCGGCCACCTGCCCAGCTGCCTCCGTCGCCTTCCTCCCAACAACTCTTCTGTCCAGATCCTAAATTTAACACCCGCCAAATGTCTGGAAAATTTGTCTTTGGTGGTTTAATCAACAGGAGGCAGCTGCCAAAAGTGGAGAGTAACTTTTCAGGGCAATTATGTTTGAAGGTCGCTGTCAAGGGTTGTAGAAAATTCAGATAAAATCCTACAAGACACAATACAGAAATAAAAACATTCCAAAACTGTGACACAGAAAGTTAGGTCACCTTGATGGACATGTTTAAAATGTGAAGACTGATGAGGTTTATCCCCTCATGAGCTTGAATATATTGAAATTTAACAACTATTAGCTTTTGAGGGATTTGTGAAATCTTGAGTGCATAGGACAGTTACAAGTGTCCAAAACTGACATGGCTCATCCTCTGGGGAACCATGAATGTGTTCAGTCAAATTGATGGCACTCTGAACTTTCTGTTTTTATGTTTTTAGTCTGAAAGAGTAGCAGAAAAGCTGAAATTTTGGGCTAATTGTTGTGCAAGACTAAGTCATTAAGAGCCATCCTCTGGGGATCATGAGTATCCACAGTAGATTTCATGGAAGTGCAGCCATCAGTTTGTTCGTAATGTCTCATCATAGGCCAAAATGTTGATCAAGCAAAGGTGTTGACCTGGTGGAGGCAGTGGAGGAGAGGTCAGGGGGTCTGCAACATTTCAAGTAATTTTCCTCTGAGGACCACGAATATCCAACACCAATGTCATGAAAACTGAGCGATTAGTTTCTGAAATATCCAGTCACAGACAAAAATGTTGTCCTGAGGCCTGAGGACAGCATCACAGAGCAGTTCATACAGTCTCCAAAATGGAGAGGGTTCATCCACTGGGGACAATTAATGTGCTCAGTGAAATTTCATTGCATTCTGACCTTTAAACATAGTTTGTTTGTTTGCTTTCTTCTTATGTAGTAAGTATGAA